TATGGTTATGGACTTAGGTTTCTTTTTCTCCTTAGTCGGTCATTCTACTTTCATTCTTCCACCAGTTAGCTCTTCTTTATCTGGATGGTATATCTTATCCTAACAAAAGATAAAGATAGTGGAGTTAGCAACTCTGAAAGTGGTTAAAATTGATAGAGCTAGCTAATAATGAGAGGCAGAGATGTCACCTAATTGCCTGGTGGGGGGGGGGCTAGGGGTACTCTACAAAGTTTAAAATGGGCAGGCTCTCCTTTTGTATGCTTCTTTTAGGAAAAAGGTAGCCCTTTCACATACCTACTACAGGGCACTGCATCCCTTTTCTTTAACAACCCTTGGAGTGAAGTCAATGAACAATAACAGGAGAGAACATCAAGTATTACCAGATACAGCCACAAGGTGCAACTGTTCAAAATAATTTAATAAAAGGCCCTTTTAAATACCTGAAGCCTGAAAAAGGTACCCCTTTCAGGCGGAGCCTCCCCTCCCTCCTCCCCCCCTCAGTATAGGCCATTATAGGGAGTATTCCCCCCCCCCTGGCCTAAATGTTAGTGTGTTGGATTCCGGATTCTGCAGGCAGCATGTAAAGAAAGTCCACTCTGATAGCTCTGGACACTAGTAGTAGATTTTGCAGTTGCCAGGTGGATTCTTTTGTGCTTTTGCTCGCCAAATAGGCAAGTGAAGTCTTTTGGGAAAACTTTCCGTGAAATTCAATTTCAGTGACTTCAACACTAAACACATGACAGGCATTTTACAAAGAAAGATAACGCTAAGAAACGACCTGTTGATGCCATCTTGACATCATTATCAAGTTAGAAATATAATATTACTAAGTTTGTTTAAATATTTACAGGCAAGGTGTGAATGGTTTCATGCATAAGTTAAATAATGATAGATCAGAATAATTAGACTTCACAGGTGAAGGTTTGAGAAACAACACAACGTTTTTTGAAAACATGTTTCAACAGAATCTTCTGTCATCTTCAGTTTAAATTACAAAGTACAGAGCTCAATATATAGCGTAAGCAAAATGCTAAATGACTATAAGAACAAAAGGAAACATGACAATGTAAAACATTACAAAGAAAGTTCTAAATTAACACGATAAAGTTGATGATTTAGTGTAGGTTTTTTCCATTGAATATGAATAGCTTCTTTTATCTTAAGCCAACAACGTGTTGTCTGGTCTGCAGTTTTAATCAGATACATATATAATATGTCAGATACACCTGCCGCCATCTCCATCAAACTATCAGTGAGCACAAGTCATCTGCCACTAGCAAGTATTTACTAGAGAAGCATAACACTGGCATCACTGCATGGCCTTGGCAGCAAATTTTTAACCCAAAAGAGACGCAAAGGGAAGCTAAATTCTCTGATCTTTGAGATGCTGTGTA